TAGCTGTGTAACATGTCTGCCAGATTTTGGGAGTTTTGGTCGGTGGCTCTGTGGAATTGCACCCATATGTGGTCTCACTGCATTTGCTTCTTGATTTATGGAGGGCTATGTGGTTGTGGTTTATTTTTTTGGTTTGTTTTTTTTTTTTTTACACTGAGTTTTTCCACTTTGTTCCTGGAAAGATTGTTCTTTGCACTGTTGTGCTAGATTATTATAGCAGTGAAGCTGAAGAGGATTTTCTATAAGTAGTAACTTGTGAAAAATTGAGGTATTGCCTTACTGTGAAAAATTGAGGTATTGCCTTACTGAGATCATATGACTCAATTTTTTGTCATATGATTTTTCATAGTTTGATTTCATTTGTTCTGTTTGGAAAACCAATGCAGTCAAAAGACTGGGATGTTTGGTTTGAGTGGATGTTGGGAAACTCTAATCCCATCACAGATTGTTCTCAGGATTCATTTGCCAGTTGCTGGCTCCATTTGCTTTTCATTTAGAATCATTCTTCAAGCATGTGTGATGGAGGATTTGCTTATAAGAGAATGTTTAACATAGAGTGAATTGTGTTTTCAGTGTTTGAAATAGGCAATAGTTGCTTTTGCAGAGGGTTTTTTCACCTTGGCTGCATCAGCAGGTGCTTTCAGGCCATTGTAAAAGTCTCTGATTTAATGCTCTTGTTGTACATCAGTTACTTGTTGATGTCAGCTGATATTCAGAGTGTTATTTGCAAATTTCATTTTCTTTTTTTTTGTTTTGTTTGTTAGGGAAGGTAAAAAAAAAAAAGGAGCACACATGAGCTGCTGGGGAAATTCTGCAGCAGAGATATTACTAAAGGAAGATAGAAAGAACAGAGTATTTGATTCAACAACAACAGAAAGGGTTTTTTCCCAATAGTACTCTAAAGTAGACAGTGGTAGTATTATAAATTTGGAAGAGAAGGGATGGAAAGGCATTTGCACCTTGCACCTACAAGAATTTGTACAGAGCTAGATATAGATCCTATGTGGATATCTGAAAAGAGGGAGGAGGCAATTCTTGCCAGATGGCTTCATCCTGGAACTGCTGTGCAAGACCAGGGTATAAAATTGTGTGCTTTGGAAGGCTGAAAGAGCAAAGAAAAGAAAAAAAAAATATAGTGTTTTATAAATCTTTGATGCTACTTTTGATATCAAGCAGAAATACTAGTTTGTCTTTGCAGTTCTCTTCCTGTGACTTTGGAGGACTTCAGGGTACAGCCTACAATTTGACTGCCTGCCATGGGGCTTTAGGTCACTATTGCCTCTCCCTGGCTTTTGTGGTACCAGTGCTCCACTTGGCTCATATGCTGAAATAGGGAACCCACTTGGATACTCTTCATGTATGGTGAAGGATGTGCTGCGGAACTAGGCTACCAGAGTGTCCCAGTTTCCTTTCCTCTAGTTGCACCACCCCCATAGCTGATGAATGAATGCAGTTGTAATATAGTGTTATAATGTGTATTATACCATAATGAGCTTAAAATGTTACAGGATACTCTCTTTTCCTTCCACGTAATGCAAGGATGGCAAACATCTGAAACAGGGAAAAACACCTAAGGCTAAGTGAAAAGTCGGGGGGGGGGGGGGGCAGGCGGGAGAGAGCAATACAAGGAGACTGAAAATGCAGGAAATGGTAAAAAGGTGTGTCTCACAGCAGATTATTTACAGGGAGATATTCTAAGGATAATCTGAATTGAATTCAATAAGAAATGTTGTGGGAGTGGCATTGAGTTTCTTGTGATTTACAGCACAGATATTTCTGTCACTGATGAGTGCATTTCAGTCATGAGCAAATGATTTCTCGGGGTACATGCACTTGGTAACACATACTCTGTGCCATGCTTTAATGACTGTTAACCAAAAGGTCACTTTTTATATTTTTGAATATTTTTTCTGGATTATACCAGGACAATTTCTTGAATTATAAATATTATTAAGTATTATAATGCAGAATTCTGAGTATTGTCACAGGCAGAAAAGCAGTATAATGTATGAGAATTAGTGTAATTTGTTCACTAGTTTCTAGTTCCCAAGTTTTCCAGAAAGTCTTTCAGATTCGTAGACTGTTTCTTGAGTTGGTATCTGCAGTTTTATACAGGAACAGCTCCTTGAAGATTTTTCTAAATAGTAAGTACCAGGGAGAATAAGAGAATGAGTAAATCAGTAGCACTGCTTATTATTTTATGGCAGAGATGTGAATAAATCGCAGCATGCACAGCTCAAACCCCAGATACTTGCACAGGGAAACAAGACAGAGACAGAAATGGGTAAGGCTGGTGGTATGTAAGAGCCATGGGGTGAAGGACTGATGGAATTAGCAGTTTAGTAAGATTTAAACCAAAACAAAACAAGATTTGAGAAGGAAGCAGCATCTTGAGCCTGTGTGATCACAATAGAGAAACAGAATGAGGCAAGAAAAGTACAGTGAAGGATTAAAGAAAGACATACAAGAAAAACTGGAGATGGCAGAAAATCAGAGAAGCAGCCAAAAAGTAATAAAAGATGCCAATCCAAATAAGTAAGAGAAGAAAAATGTATATTTTTCTTATTAGGTGATATTTAGTACAACTTGTCATTCCTTTATAGAGTGCTTTGTCAGAATCAAGTGGTCTTTAGTCATGTTTTTTTTTTCTCTCTGTTAATAGAGGACAACAACTTTAATTAGCAGAAGCTATACTAACTCCTAAAACCATTTTGGGCACACTCATTTGTTTCAAACTTGAGCTACGGAAGTGAATTATTTCTCTGTTGCTACAACAAGGCATTTCCCAAATCCTTGGACTCCCACAGGAGCATGCCAGTCCAGAGAGCAGCCATACAGCATAAAAGGACCTACCTATTGCTGCAGCAGGTGTAATGAAACATGCCAGCAATGTGTAATTAAGTGGTCAGTGCATGGATTTCAGAGGAAAATGGTCCAATTCTTTGAAATGGTGGATGTGTGGAGCAGATGGCCTGTGAAGATTTTCACTCCCAGGCAGAAGGGTCCTCACATACCAGTAATGTATTTATAAGGTGGAAAAAGATGTTCTAGTCTGAGTTGGAATACATTTATTCCCAGAAAGGAGCTGCACAGTTTTGTTTCTTGCATTATGTCTTTTCATTACTCCGCCCTACCTGAATTTCTGATGTTTTTGAAAGAGAATCACATCTGTGATCCAGTCTGAAATGGGAACTGGGCCTTAAGGATGCTGTGGTGTTAAATCTGTGCAATATTTATAATATTGACTTCATTTGTACACTGTAATAAACTTGCTGGTTATTTTCAGATGCAGATGTCCATCTGTAAATGCTGAAAAATAGTGTTACTATGTGTTTGCACCTTTTCACCCTATTTTTTTTTCTTTCTGTAACAAGATGCAGCAAATTCCCATCTCTCACCTGTGTCTCAGCTGTCAAAACTTTTCACTTCTTCCATTTCCATGATTCTTTCAGAAGTGCTGAAAATGCTGAAGGATGAGTGACAGCTGTCAAAATTTGCTATTCACTGTCTACCAAGGGAAGTAGCAATAGAAGATGCATATCAGAGGAAGAGGAAGGCACTTCTCATGAACTGGGGCTTCCTTCCTCAAGGATAAAACTGCAAAGACAGGAATTTCTTCTAGGGAAGTGTTTTCCTTCCCTCCTCCCCCCCCCCCCCCCCTTTTTTTGGAAGTGGTTTCTTTATTGTGGAGGACAAGGTGTTTGGGTGGTGGCATTAGTACATGCTAAGAGACATTTTCAGCTGTTACATCATGATTCTGGGCTCTTTTGGCCCTGGAATTTCTCCCCATAAATCTTGATTTTTAGCAATCGAGAATAAAGGTAAAGCAGGCTGGAAGATGAGCCAGCAAAGCGTGTTTCAAGTCTTATGTGATAAAGCTGAAAATCGTAGATTTCCTGGTGTGTATTGGGGAAGGGACTTGAGCATCTCTATTAAACATGTCTTTGACAAATTCTGGTTCTGGCAGCAAGTTCTGTTTTGCATGCTGCTAAGAGAAAGGAACACTTACGATGGCGAAGGGGCATGGTGTATACTACAGTTGCCTTATGTTGATGTATCTAATGGTTTTCATCCCCCACTTTGCTCTGGGCTTCATAAAACGGAGAGAGTACTTTTCACATTAAGGCTGAGGGCGAGGACCGCAGCGCAGCGCCGGAGCCTGCAGCAAACAGCGGTGGTTCCCGTTTTCCCCGCTGCCGCCGAAGCCCTGCGAGGCCGGGGAAGCCGTGAGTAACAGCCGGAGCCGGTCGATGGCCGCTCGGTGCTCGGCTCCTTGCTCGGTCGGTGGGTAAGCGGCGGCAGGCACCTGGAGGGATGGAGCCGCAGGTTTTCTTAGCGACTCCCCTCCCCTCCTCACCCCAAAACCGCCGTGACCCAGAAATTTTGCCAGCACACTCCCGGTTTTCAAGACAGCCGGGCGGGATGGATGGCGGGATGCAGAGATGCTGTACAGCAGCGGGGTTGGGCGACGGCAGGATGCAGAGATGCTGTACCGGCGGCAGCGCAACGAAGGGCGGTATGGAGCTCGCCCTCGGCGGGGTGAGGAATGACCCGTTTCCCCCCGGTTACAGGCCAAAAGAGCCGAACGCGGCGGGCAGGGACGGCGGCAGCGATCCGTGTCCTGCTGCCGAGCCGGGCCCGGGAGCAGGGCGGGGGGGGGGGGGGGGGGGGGGGGGGGGGGGGGGGGGGAGGGGGGAGGCTACTCCACCGTCGGAAGGTTAAGACGCCCGCTGGGTTAGGCGTTAAAAGAAATAATGTATGAAATTATGAAATAATATATATGAAATAAAATAGGGTGCGGTGGCGGAGCGCGGAAGCTACTCGGGGAGGAGGAGGGGCTGGAGCTTCGGGCTGGGGGCGGTGTAGCCCCAGGCTCTCCCGCAGCAACCCCAAACCCCTGAGAACCCGCACTCCTGCGCCCTCCGTGGGAAGAGAGACCCCGGACACACCCCCCATGAGGGGCTGCAGCGCCTGTCGGGGTGACCGGTCTGCCCCCCACCCTCGTGGTCGTCCCTCCGCCTTTCCCTGCCGGCGGCCCGGCCGCGGAGGGGGCAGCGAAGGCTGTGGGATGGCGGTTAAGGCGGTGTGTGACAGATGTCCTCCTCTGACAGCTCTCGGTATCAGCCCAGTGGCTCCCTGCCATTGGCTCGGTGCAGCCGACCGGCAAGGCAGCTCGCTATAACAGCACTGTGCCCAGCAGAGGCGGCAGCTCAGACGGCTTCGCCGCGCCCGCCCTGCTCCTCCCCCGGCAGCCCGCTCCCCGCCGGAGGGGCCGCACACACCTCCTCTCACACACACCGGCACATGCCGCCGGCCCCGGCCCTCCCCGCCCCGCCAAGCCGAGCCGAGGGAGGCCGGCCTGAGCAACCCGCGGGCGGCCGGGGGGCGGCCCCGGCCCCATTCCCGGCCTCATGGAGTGCTACTACATTGTCATCAGCTCCGCGCATCTCAGCAACGGGCACTTTCGCAACATCAAGGGAGTTTTCCGAGGCCCCCTTAGCAAGAACGGAAACAAAACTCTGGTAATGGCTTCTTTTGATTCCTTCCCTCCCCTCCTTTCCCTCCTTTTCCCAGCCGCGTCTCCGCTAACTGAAAGCCGCCGCTGCGGGTGCGTGGCGGGCGCTGCTGGCAGCCGCTGGCGCCTCTCCCGCCGCGGAGATGCGGTGCCCTCGGCTCCCGCCGGCCGGGCTCGCTGTGCCGCGGTCCGGGACATGCTTGCGCGTTCTTCCCAAGCTGGCTGGTCGTGGCGAGGCTGCGATGGGAAAGCCCGGAACGGCGAGCCGGCGGGAAGAGGGGGGGGGGCCTCGGCGGTGGTGGTGATGGTGTCCCAGGGTCACCTCCGGGGTCGAGGACAGCTTGGCGAAGTGCGGAAAGGCGCCGCAACTTGGTTAATTGGGGTCTGAGGTGTTTGGGTAGGGGTATTCAGTTGTTGGAGGATAGCGTCGGAAGCAGCGTACGTTTGTACGTACCTTTGTGTTTGTTGGCTGCCAAGTTTTTTAAAAGCAGAGCTCTGGGTTTGGAGGTAATTGACAGGTTTAGGCGATGTGGTTAAGTGCTCTGTATAGGCTATCGAAACTGTTCATATAAATATATATATACACACACCCCATACTTTCATCTACATCTTCTGGGTTTCCTATGAATTTTTGCTGACTTGTTTGGACTTGCTTCTCTGCTATTACTGAACTTGAATGGAAGAGTTAGGATACAGTAGTATCGGCGATACATGTGCTTTCTTGGCTGATCAGATAGAACGGATGTAGGGTGACATCAGGCTAGGCAAGCTGCATCTCCCAACACCCCAGTCACGACACAGCAAAGCTTGGACAGATGTATGGACAGCGGAACTGAAAGAGGAGTTTTAGCCACCTTGTTTATCGCTCCCTCTCCCACCACTGTCTTATTACGAAATCCCCTTTGGAGGAGAGGGAGCAGAACTTACGCACCACATCCTTGTTCCCTCGAATACACGACCTGTACTGATGGAGAATTTACCAAACTACTTAACATTTGCTAGAGCTGGCAACCTTGCAGTTTCTCCCTAAATAAAGAGATTAAGGCAAGTCTGAGCCAAGTCGTAAAAATAGTAACTACAAGAGAATCTGAGGCAGATTTTTATTTATTTCTTTTTTTATCTCTTTCAAATATAAGGTTCCTGCTTTCACTTTATAAATCTTACCACAGTTTTATTTGATGTGGATTCTGCATATTTTTCTGTTAGGAAGAGTGTTCTTGAAATCTTAAACAAGTATTTGTAGGATCCATGAGATGGCAATATGCATGTGATACTTCACTGTTACAGTAGCAAACCCAAGAACTATCATAGCAATTTTTGGTGCACTTCAAATAATTGCATGATACATCACCTCCCTTCTGCTGAACAATTTCAGTAAAGATGCATTTGGCAGGACTGAGGATACTCTGATGCAACTTTTGGACTGTGTTCTGTCTTGCAATTCATAATTGATTCTCCTTCAATAGCATTTTACTTTTGCTTTTTTAATTTTTTTTCCTCTTGGGAAAAAAAAAAAAGAGAGAGAAAAAAAAAAAAAGGCAGCTCTCTATTCTCAACATTCCTGACTCTTTTATTTGCTGGTTAAAACATTAGTGGCCAAAATTTGTTTGGGAAATATTGTTGTTAACTTAAAATTCAAATGGATGTATGGTGTAGGCTTTTAAATGCTCTTACTCTGAAAATCAGCTTAACTCAACCCTGCTCATCAGTGGGATAAAAGCTAGTGTTGGTCGTGGATTTGCTATGAGAAACCTTTAAAGCCTTTTGCTGAGGGCAGTGAGCAGTGTTAACTCTCAAAGTTTTTGCTGAGTTAAAAAGGGAGAGTTCTTGGTGTTGACTCCACACACAGCAGAGTGAAATTCTTCCCTGTGAAATAAACAGGATAGATGCTGACATCAAGACTTTAATTGATGTTTGAGTGGGATTTTTTTTTTTAAAAGGAGGTTAACATAACATTAACTTGCAATACAGGGTGATGGGTTAGTTCTGACTAATAATTCTGAGGCACCAAAGTGCCAGCTTCCATTGGAAAATCAAATGTTGCATCATGTTGGAGGATTGGTCACTTTCACTGTAAACAGGCTTTTAGACCTGAAAAGATTAAAACCTTTGTTAATACAAAGTAGAATATGACTTTAGATATTCTGAGGAGAATGCAGCCTTTTAATATGCTCTTGGCTTGTTCCATCCTAGAATAAGACTAGGGGAAGCAGTAATGAGTAAACCTAAAATCCAGGAATATTTTGGAGCTGTTCTGACTTGTATATATCTTCCTATTTTGCTGTAAAGGTTTCAGTCTGTCTTCATCTGTACTCCAAGCTTTCTATAATCACTGCTTCCACCTAAACTGAGAAGAACCTGAAAACCGCCTCTGCTTGTACTGTGTGGAATTGCTTCTGTGCAAAACTTATACTTTTTGTTAAGCTTTGCTTCTCTTAAAAGAGTTCTGCCACCATGCTCCATCTAGACAGATAGATGACTGTAGACACTGCAGTAGACTTTCATAGTAAACAGGAAAGTGCTGGTCCTGGTCCAATGATGAACTTATGGTTTCAAGATGATTTCACACAGTCTATCTTCGAACCCGGAACCTGGCTCTGTTTAGGTTTCAGGAGAGGTAGGTCCTTAGAGCTTTTGGCTGCTGTCTCACTCAGGGGTGGCACAGTATTCACTCATAGTTTTTTGCCGTGCTTTCCAACAGAGGTCAGAGAGAAACACTTTCTCTGAATGTTTGTCCCTGCTGGTAATCCTTACGTGTTCATCCTCAGCCACTGTCCTGGTTCACACAGCGTTAGTCATTTAAAGCTTTATGAAGTTTCAGAGAAATGGTGCAAAAAATGGAGGAATGTGTATCTACGTGCAGTTCTGGGCATCTGATGGCACAGCTTTGCACAATGCACAGTACGTGCACTTCCTCAGGCCCACCGCATAGCTGTTCAGTGTGGGTGTCGTTACACAGTTGTAACCTGCTGCTTCTTACCAGGAAAATAAGCCTCAATTATGAGCTGGTGGGAAGCAGGCTCAGCTCATGTGGAAGAATGGCATGCAAACTCTTAAAATTCCTTTAGAAAATGCAGTGGTTTGGTTAAAAGAAATTAGTGGTATTTGGGCTGTTGGATAAAGCTTTTTTCTCTCTCACTAGCATTTCTTCTGTCTAGATATCTTTCAAATATATGTGATGTCAAAACAATAGCTCATCTACTACTGGAGTGCTCTGTGTCAGCCCTTTGAAAGGGACTTTCTGTTGGTGGAGAACTGTCCAAGTGAACCAACTTGCTGTCTGGTCTTTGCTTGGCGATGTTTGATGAATACAAAACTCAAAACTTGACACATGGGTCAGTAATGCACAATGATGTTGCAAATTTCTGATGCTCTTTCTGCATTTTTATGTACTATTGTTTATACCTGGGTGTTTTAATGAACTAATATAGGCCTGGTGGCTTGGCCATTTCTTGTCAGTATTCATACCTGATACCTTGAAGCTTTTCCTGTGACTGTTCTTTTTAGCTGTAGCAGTTTATAGAAATCTGTTTAATACAAACTCTTTCTCTTTTCCATGGTTCCCCTGAAGTTTTCATGCAGTTACTATGTTATTTTTTTTATGCCTTATGTTATTACTTCAAAATGCACCAGTCTTTCTCTGTAATTCATGTTCTTTGTTGTGGCTGCTGTCTGGCAGCTTATGATCTCAGAAGGTATTGAAACATGTATGAAAAAATAGGTCTCTGGAGGGTGAAATCAGTTCTTTGGAGTCACAATGATGGGATTTGCTAAATCCTGAAAATTTCTTTTGGAATATAAACCAAAACTTTTTAAGGCATCATCCTAGTTATGTGTACGATTTCTGGTTGCTCAGCAAGAGAACTGACTGGTTGGTCTTCTGAGTAGCTGGTACATGGGTGATGACTGGGTATCTGCTATTTCATTTGTGTAAATGGCTCTGTATCTGTTTCCATCGCAATTTACAGTGATGGAGAACTGGCCCTGTAGGGCTCATTCACTTCTATTGATTGGAATAGTACATTTTCTCCATAGGTGACCAAAATGAGTAAGATCCTATTACTTGCCCAAGGAGGTCAGTGGAAAGTTTAGATCTTTGTACGCTATAAATCGCTACTGTAATTCTAAGTGTTGCTTTGATACTGTTAGAAAGTAGGTAACATAAAAATTTCCTGGTAAGGAGTTAAAGGACTGTAGTTTCAAATGTACCAAACACAGAAGTCTATTATTGTGTATAACAATAACTGCTCTATATGTAGATAAACATATATAGGTTTATAGTTTGGTTACAAATAAGCAGAGGACTTACTTCAGGGATAGAATTAAAATAGTCCTCAACTCCAAGGGAGTCAGGCACAAATTATCTCAAACTGCCATCAGACTCTGAACTCAGTGTGGTAAGCCCTGCTGAGAGGAACGTCATGTGAACTTCAGATGGCTACTGCCCATGTAATGCAGCTTCATGCCTCCCAGTCAGCTTGGATATGGGCGCAAGGAGTGCATGTTGACCTTTAAAATACAGTGGAGGTACAGGTTCCATCTAAAAAGCTGTTGGATGTCCACTTCGACCATTTTTTAATAATTCATTTGCTTGTACCATCATCTGTCTTGCCTCAGGTTTATTGGACAAAACTGCTTTCAATTTTTATTTATATATTTGTGTGTGCATATACATGTTTATAAATACTTACAACTTCTTTTAGAAGTCCTAGAGCTTAGTTCTGCTTTTATAAAACTCCATGGGGTTCAGATACTGGTACACTAGTGTCTGCTGAAAATGTTATCTGTTGTTCAGGGTGCCTCTGTCTAGTTCTTTTACATTTAGAAGAATATTTTTGTATTTCCAGATCAACTATAGTAAATATGTTGTCGTGGACATAAAAATCTGTTTTATGAGAACCTCTGTCACAAACATCCATACCTTACTGCAGTGAGAAAGCAGTAAACTACCTGAAAAAACTGTCTTCCTGATGAATAATACTGAAGCTGCCATACTTCCGCATGATC